AAGTACAATCTATCTGAACTTATTGCTCTAATGTGCGTTACATTTACACTTAACATGCGTGTGCGTGTATGTACAACATTAAATACGCGGAACAAATATAATTTAAAATGCGTCTATTGCTATTACAATGTGCGTTGAGATATTCTTAAAAGTATATGAGTCAATTTATTTATTAATATGCGCACATTTATATTTTATTATTCGTTTATTTCAGTCTAAAAATGCATTACATTGACTACTAACTGACTTAGTCCCCATAAAAAAAAAAAATCAAATGGGTGCGTCTTTTTAAATATTGGATGACCATTCAACTTTGAAAGATTACCATTATGGTAAATATAAAAATTGCTGACATGGAAATTGACTTGTCAATTATTTCCCAATGCCAAGTACAAATCTATCAAACCAACTTATTCCCAATAAAAAAAATAAAAATAAAAACATTAATAGGTGCGTTTTTTTATGAGTTGAATGACCATTCAACTTTAACAGATTTCCTTTATGGGAAATGAAAAAACTGCTGACAATGAAATACAGTTGTCACTTATTTTAACATATTTCATTTAACATGCACCCGTTCATATGCCGATAATATGTTGAAGAACCTATATAAAGAACGGATCATCCATCACACCTTATCATCTCAAACACAAAGATGGAAAAAACAAAAAATGGTGAGAAAGACAATCAGTCCAACCAACCCCGAAAACCCCTAATACCAAAAGAACATCTACAATCACTGAAAAGGGATCTAAACGATCCAACATTCAAGGAAAGGTTCGAGTCATTTATTGACGACTTCCCTACTGAGGACACCTCTGATGATTCCACAGGAACAAAGGTGTCCTACAACACCTGGAAAACGGAGGCTCTTGCCTACATTGCTGTTGAGGAGGCTACTGAAGAGGAAGAAGTCGACTCAAAGAAGGGGCCACTCTTCGTGAAGAAATGAAAGGCAGGTTAAGCTTGATAAGTGGACACACGTTATTAATATTACGTTTTGGTGTAATAAGTGTCCACTCTTTAATGTTTTAATAATATCAAGTTTATTATGCTGAAGTTCGTAGTTTTCACGATGCTTACAGATGCGTTGATACATAAAATATAATATATTAAAGAACAATTCTAGAAAATCAAAACAAAAAAAAAAAGATTATATATTTATTTAAAATGCGATACGAAATGCTTAGGATGCGTAATACGGCAGTATAATGTGCGTTTCTTTATGTGTTAAAAGTTTATACCGTGGCAAATACGAAAAAGCTTAACATGCGTAATACAGTAACATAATGAACTTTAAAAAAATAAGTAAGTCTGAGTGTTTTTTTCCGGAGATATCAATATGCGTAGAATTTGGTTTTAATGAGCGTTGATTGAATTTTGTTTAATGGTACTCGGATTTGCATGTTTATTTTACCCAATATGAAAAATAACCAATTCACCAAAAATGAATAAATTGCAAAGAGATTTATTATTTACATTGCAATAATTTACACTTTAAACTGCTACTTCTACAAATATAATAATACTAGTTTTTCTACGCGCTTTGCGCGAATAGGATAATGCCCAATACTTACTTTTAAATAAGTATTTCAAAGTATATCAATGCAATATTATATAAAAGATATCCATGCCTAGGTAAATAAATGTTGAATTTGTTTATTTAAATCGGTAATTTAAAGTATATAAATGCGTGATAATATATGAGAGATTGATTATATATAACTGTCACAAAAATAAATGTTTGGAACTTTGTAATAACGTTAATCTAAGTACTAAGTCTAAAAGCGATAGTCTAAATAAATACTATTTTTGGTTTAAATGTTTCTAATTCTCTTTTAGGTAGCATTGTTATTGTTTTCATTTTCAGGACATGTCTTTTTTTTTTTGTTTTTTTTTTTTTGTTTTTTTTGTTATTGGTAGTGTGTCATGTGCAATTGGTTTATTGATAGTATCATAGAGGGGTTCATCATGCAATTAGATTATGGTGTATGAAATTTTGGATTTGTCTTGTTATGTATATGACTGAGATCTTAGTTGTGCTATGAACTCTTTATCTTACAAGCACATGTTGATATATGGTAGTGGTAGTTTTTCCTACATGTTTCATGTGTTGTGAGACATCTAATTCTAAATTAATTAAATGCATATATATTATTTTTTGTTGTAGCTACTAATTTATTTTTTAATTTAAGTAATAAGAGAAATAAAGTGGAAAAATTATTATGTGGAACCGGTGGACACGGTTCCAAAATTGTTCATAATTATGAATATATAGTTCAAAAATTATGAACATAAAGTTGTGAACATAATTATGAACATATAATTCTGTAATTATGAATATAAAGATTCAATAATTGTCAATATGAAGGTAAAAAATTATGAATATATAGCTTTATAATTATGAACATATAGTTCAATAATTATGAACATAGAGTTCTGTAATTGTGAATATAGAGTTCAATAATTATGAATATGAAGTTAAAAAATTATGAATATATAGCTTTATAATTATGAACATATAGTTCAGTAATTATGAACATAGAATTGTGTCCACATTGCAAGGTGGACACAGTTCCACGACATAACGATTGAATAAAGTGGCGTACATACTTTTCATCCACAATAATGAAATCATTGATTGTTTTTAAATTTCCATTCGTTGTTGAGACAAATTGTTTTGAGAGTTTGTCAATGACAATTGCTGTCAATAGATGATGATAATAAATAATTCAAAATATAAGGTTACAATAGATATTGTTATAATAGTATAGTAAAAATTAACTTACAAATTTCTTTAGAAGTTTTCATGCATTACAATAATCAAAAGAAGATTAATTAAACGAAAAAAAAAACTGAACTTAAATTTATTATTATTTTTAATGAAAGAAAATCAAATGATTATCAAAGTTCCTGATTTATAATCATTGAATGCTATGTATTTAGTCGGGCTAATTATTTGACCAAAGTTTATGTTAAAGTTTATATTTTATTTTTTAATACATTTTAACATATTCGTGGTATATGTTTAACAATTATGCTAACTCTAAAATATAAAATTTAACATAAACTTTGGTCAAATTATTATTTTTAATGAAAGAAAATCAAATGATTATCAAAGTTCCTGATTTATAATCATTGAATGCTATGTATTTAGTCAGACTAATTATTTGACCAAAGTTTATGTTAAATTTTATATTTTATTTTTAATACATGTTAACATATTCGTAGTATATGTTTAACAATTATGCTAACTCTAATTGGAATGCGGTTCGAACGTAAGTCCTTTCTTATAGAAATTAATGAGTAACTTAAGAATAATAAATAGTTAACGGAATATTCCGTTAATAAAGTTTATGCTAACGGAATTTAAGGCGATTTAAGGAAAGAAAATAATATAATAAAAGGTAAATAAGGAAAATCATTAAAAATACTAAAATCAAAATACTATGAACCATTCATTTTAAGAAACAAGTAGTACCGACATTTTTTTTATTCCAGTTAAGGGCCTAACATTATTGGCTCTTATTATAATTGTATGTATAATTGTATTGTATAATTGTAGATAATATTAATAATAATAACAACAACAACATTAAATAATAAAGGAAACATCCCACTTATTATCAGAAACAGCATCAACCAGCAAGCACAATAAAGAAGACATTAGAGCTTATTTTAAATAACAGAAAAAAGAAAAAAAAAAACCTCAGGGAAACGACAGGATCCATCTATACCTTTTGAAGATATTTCTTTTGGTTAAACCTGCATTAAGGTACCAAAAGATATATCTCCAAAAGGAGTATAGTATCCTGCCGTATGTCTGGGCTAAATCAACACATTCTAAACCTGAAAAGAACGACATCTGTGAATCTAAAATCTAACCGATCCAACACATCCAAATCAGTTAGCGTTTAGCTCCACAGAAGAAGATCTTTTCAGGCTTAGAATGTGTTGTTTTAGATGAAAACAACAAAAACATGCTTCGCTCATAACTCCCTGTACCTCCTCGTATAAACTTCCATGGTTGTGGTATTTTGTATTTGATACATTGGGATGTTTAAAATGAGTTACTATTCTTATCAACTACATTGACAAACAAATAGAAGGAGGTCGAGTAAGATGAGCATATGTAAACATCATGATGAATGGTCTGTAAAACTCTAATTACACCGTTTCAATATATATACAATATGGTAATGAGATACTCCACTATTATAGGCGAATAACTTGAATGGGTCCGTTTATTAACAAGTGGATTCCTAATAACACACACCCATTGAAGAATCTGTTTCCTATTATAATAAAAAGGTATTATTATTCAAATAAATTTTTATTTTTTTCCGTTTTCAATTTATATTATTTCAAATATTGAAATATTTTTCTTTCATTTTTAAATACATTTCCATTATTAGATGCCGTATGTATGTATTACTTAACATGTGCAGCAATATATTTTAAAATGCACACGTTAACACGTTATTGTGTGTGTCTTTCATACTTAATGTGCGAGAGATTATATACTCGTTGACTTGGACAAAATAAAAATAAAGATTAAAAAAAAAAAACTTCAATGGGTACGTTTTTTTAAAGATTGAATGACTACACAACTTTAAATATAAAAAATTGCTGACAGCAACATTGACTTGTCACTCGTTTCCAAAATACCAAGTACATACCTATCCAACGTTACTCCTCTAATATGCGTTACATTTACAATTATCATGCGTGTGCGTGAATGTATAACACAAAATGTGTAACAAGTATACTTTAAAATGCGTATACTTACATTTGAATATGCGTTGGGAGATTTTTAAACGAATAAGATATAATCTCTATATCTCTATCTCTATATCTCTATCTCTATTTCTCTATATATATTAAAGCCATAAGATTTCAGCCAATGAAATGGCTTCATTTTCCCGCCCAATAAAAGTGACGTCGTTTGGCTATTAAAAGATTGCGGTCAAATACTTTTAATTAACCTTATATTTTCAGTAATTGTATTTGTATTAATCTTAAATACTTAAGTCATGCTCAACCACCTTTTAGGTTTCCCAAATTTGTGGGCAGTTGTTCCAAGTTGCAGGCCACCGTTTGCATTAAATGATTTTATACATACACTATTGCGAATACATATCAAAATTGAAACTCAAATTAAAGAAATACATATCAATAGAGATGAATTCAAAACACTTTGCAACTTTTCTATTTTGGCGTTCCATTTTCCGGTGCAATTGTTGAGTTTTCTTGGAATTCTAAATCCTCCAAATCTGATTTGAACCCTTCAGCTTAACTCTGTTCTATAAATAATGGCTACTAACCAGTCATTTTATGAATTAAGGTCTGCGTGTTTGTTCTTTCTTTGCCATCTACTCCGCCTGAAAATGGCCCCCCTCTACATTTTAGAAAAAGAGTCAAAGACCTCAGTCCGAGTACCTCAGTCCAGGTAATTTTAAACCTATTTTAATCCTTTATTTCATTCCTTTTAAATACAAATATGATTTTAAACCAAAAACCAGATTATGATTTACTTCTAAAACAATATTTCAGATCTAATACTTTTTTGTTTTCAGATTGAAGGTTGAATATACCCCAGTTAGAATCATCAATTGTGTGTCAATGATGTGCTATGGCAACAGTACATACAATTCCAAGTCTCCTATGGTAATAAGCACTATAAAAAGATCTATATGACAAAGCTGAGGTATGAATAATACATACTGCAATTGAAATATTTTTATTTCTTATTTTCTTATCTATATATTTTTCTAATTTATCTGCATGCTTTGGTTTTAAAAAGCTATTTTATATAATACTTCCTACCAGTAACCCAAGTAGTTAAGTACCAAGTGTATTTAGTACTAACAGAATAGAAATAACATACGTTTCAAAAACATAGTACTCTTAATACTTAATAAAATACTTGAACCAAGTATTATTTTAGCATTTTCCGAAGTACTAAATAGTATACATATCAACTAAAGCAGTAGGCTTAAAAATCATATTTGCATTAATTTTTTTGATATGTAAAAATCATATCACCATATACTTTTAATAATCTTTGAATCTTAATACTATTAGTGAACTAATGCAGACAATGAACTTGACTTATGAAAATGGGAAGATACCTATGGAGTTAAAAACTTTGGTTTGGTCTATCATTGGTATTAAAAATTGTTGCTAGAAAGGAACAATTTGACAATCTACTTGATGCATTTTCTGTGGTAAAAATTGAGCAAGACAGTGCATTACTTGCAATTCAGTGTTCAGAATTGCCTAATTCCCAAAGTAGGGATCTCAGCTCAAAGATCCTACAGCCAAAAGATCAACATGACACTGATGATGTAAGGTTTCTAAATAAATATAATTCTAATCTATAATTAATTGTTATTTTTTAAAATGGAATATAATCTCTAATTTGGAAAATGTTTGCAGAAATTTTTCAAAGAGGATGATGAAAAGTGGCATGTAACCTAGAGTAGCTTGGTTTCTGATTTTTTTTTTTTTGTACTGGTGTGGTCTGAAACAATATTCAAACTGTATTTTGCCCTGTTTGACTTTTAAAACATTATTTTGGACTGTGGTTTTGCTCTGTCCAAGATTGAACTATTGGTTTCTATGTCACAGATTTATATTAGTTATCTTGCATAAAGAAAGATTCAAGGAATATGCTGGGAAGGCAAAATGTTTACGGATATGACATATGACTACTATTTATATGCAATGTGTAACTTAGGCCAAGAATTTGCTAATAATAATAGCATATGTACCTTATTAGTCGCTAATAATAATAGCATATGTACCTTTTTTGTCGATTTAACCACATTCCACATTTAACAGTGAAATGACTTCAGTTTTTGACACATTCAACTTCACTTAAGTTGACAATTGAGTTGAATCCTGCAAAATTGGAATACAATTTAAGGTGAACTGATATTACAATAAAGAAACTCTAATTCAATATGAGCAAAACTACAATAGAGGATAAAACATCAGAGTGTGTGCAGTCAAAACACATTTAAGCAAAACACATTAGTTGTATGGATCAAAATTTGAACAACATACAATATGAGCAAAACACATTTAAGTTGTGATGCAGTCAAATTTGTTTTTTAGAAGTGTAAAACATTTAAATCCGAGCAGCAATAGAGGATAAAAACATCAGAGTGTATGGATTTTGCTATCTATGCTTAGCAATAGAGGATTTCCATGTTGATGATGTCCTAACATAACTCAAGATGAAGATTTGGTGGCAGCCCACTGTACCCTAATAGATGAGAAGGATGAGCTATCAAAACTAATTGCTCAAGTAGAAGAAGATGATGACCCAAATGTACGTAACTGACCTATCATACACTTTGTTTTCTGTTTGGCTTGATTGTTTTTAAAAATTTATTTTTATTTTAAATCAGGATTATGAATCTGGAGATAGTTCTGATGACGCCAGTAGTCTTGCTGTTCAACAAATTCAAAAACCTATGAGGGCAGATACTGATGAACATATATTTCCAGGTTCAACCAAGAAAAAATTGATGGACTAATTCTCATCTACTCAAGATGCAAAAAAAATGTAAAGCTATTGCGATCAAGCAAGAGAAAAATTGACCAGAGTTACTGTGATGTTCTAATGTGGTTTACTAAGGGCTATTCTGTAAGCCCTTAGTAAATGGTGTTGTTCTAATGTTGTGACATTCTGCAACTTTTATGGTTTTTTGGACATGGACTTTTGGGTTGTTCTTTTTTTATTAAATTTCATGAATCTGAACTTTAAAAATTGTCTACTTATTTAATTGAAATCTTAGTCCATGACTTAGAGTTCAATTGATATCTTGGTTGTTTTAACAAATTATCTTATCCTATGTTTTTTTTTTTTTTTTATTGTGTATTCTTTTATAAATGCTCATGAGTCATGACACATTACTCATTGAAGAATGAAGAGCATCAATTTGTAGGAATTTGTAAACATTTTGGTAAACATTTATAAAAGGATCAACATTCCTAAGAAGTCAAAAGTGCAGCAGTTGTGGTTATGCTTTTGGAACTGCATTTGTATCAGTGGCTAACCCTTTCACATCGTAATTAATGGTTGCTCTAAATTTAAGTAATGTATGCATTTATGCTATTATGGTCCTATTTCCAGGCAGACACACAAGTGCTAACAGTTAAGTCATTGAGCCTGCAACAGTTAAGTCAAAAGTGCAGCAGTTGTGGTTATGCTTTTGGAACTGCATTTGTATCAGTGGCTAACCCTTTCACATCGTAATTAATGGTTGCTCTAAATTTAAGTAATGTATGCATTTATGCTATTATGGTCCTATTTCCAGGCAGACACACAAGTGCTAACAGTTAAGTCATTGAGCCTGCAACTTATATTTAGAACATATAAGCCTTCTCCAAATTATTCAGAATTTTGTCATATTTTGATAAGTACACAAATAAAGTGAACTGATCATTGTTACCTTTAAGCCGTCTCCTGATTACATGTAAGAAAATTGGGTTGAAGCTTGAATCATTGAGCCTGCAAAGTCAATTCACATCAAATGTTACAAAAGGCATTCATAAAGTACAATAGTCTGATTTACACCAGTAAGTTTAATACTATTAGATTCCTTGATTTCCTTCACTAATTTATCAACTTGATTTGTCATAGGAAACCTGTAAATAAGGTAAAGAACCACTGCCTTTATATTTTGTAGACAATACAAAAATTTACTCAATGAGATGTTAAATTTTGATCTCTAATGGGATGCATTCCAATGATTTATAGTGCATGACTACAGCCTCCAAATTTTGTAATTAGAACACACATATGAAAATATAATGAGTAAATATTGTTCCAGGTTAGAATAATCTAAAATAAGGTCTATACACTTTCTATTGTTAGAAGTCATAAATAAAATTAAAGTTAAACAATGATGGAAAAATAGAGAAACATAAATGCAGTCACATTATTAGCCCACATAAACCTATGAGCTTTCCAATTCTTCATAAGGTTTCAAGTAATGGAGCTAGACATGAAAAGTGCAGGAAAAATAGTGCAGATGATGAGAACAAAGTGTAATTGATTATTTTTTCCTTAAGGTTGTCAGTTGATCCGTTATTTGCCACCAACCCACCATCAACATGAGGATGAGACCGAGTATATCATAAAATGATTTGAAAATAAAGTTAAAAATACATAGAATGATAAAAAGTAGAAGCTAAGGTAAACATTTAGCATGTTAGCCTATTTTTAAGATAGACGGTAAGGAACATTTTTTGAAAAGCAATATTCAGATTGAATTAGTTGTTTGATTTAATGTCTCTTTTCTCTGCTTTTATAAATTCAAAATTACCTGCTTCAAAATTACTTTAAGTTAAATATTGAATGGATACAACTAAAAAATAACAAATTTTTATTTTTTTTTTGGGTTTAAAGAAATTACCTAACAGCGAACCTGCTTCAAGCCTCTACCCTTCAAATAGCTTGCATTGAGAAAAATACTGAAAAAGAACAAGTTGTAAATTTGAATAAGCAAAATGGCATTGTATGGTAATGAATATATGCTTATGTACGGTACGGTTATGATTTCCTTTCCCTTCTATAATTTACTCGGTGTATGTCTACTTTAGTATGCAATTTAATATTTGTAAAAAATAATATTTGTAAAAAAAATTACAGTTTGCAATTTAAAATGAAACAAATTTTCATATATTGTAAAATAATTAGATTAAAAATAATAGAACTAAATATTACATGGGATTAAAGCGAATCTGGAAATCTGGAAATACTAAAACAGAGTTAGTATCATATTTCAACAAATTAACATGGTCACTTTTTCGGATTAAATTTCAAAGAAATATGCATGCAGAGCACAAAAAAAAAAAAAAAAAAAAAAAAAAAAAACACCAGATTAAATGATTGAATATTCTAGCTAAATATTCTATTTCAAATTTTAGGTCATAGAATTATTTGTTGGTATCTCTTCGAATACGTTTTCAACTTCAAAGCGTTCTGCATTTTTACACATATGCCGTGTGTGTATTTATCTACGAATTACATGAAGACATGAATTAAGGTTTCCCGGAAAATAGTTAAAATTACTATTATATATTGTAAATAAAATAAAGAAATAATTACCTGAAACTGTAGGATATTGCATGCGTTGCTATTGAAGACCATATTTGTCGGCCGATCTGTTTATCGTGTAATTCTTTGAATCAGTTGTGTTTTGGGTTAAAGATTTTGAAATGACGGAATTGAAGGCATTTTTGTAGTATTTTCAGCCATGCGTAGCTTGGATTTAGATTTGGCGGTAAGAAATTTGTTTGGTTTCCATATTTGGTGAGAGCGAGGGTGATTGGATAGAGTAGCGAAGAAGAAGACAGAAATGGGGGAGGGGAATTTGGGTTAGACGGGTGGGTTTTTATTATTTACTTTTATTTTATTTTTTTTAAAAAAATATATATATATTTTTTAATTGTTTTGATTTGTAATATTATATTTGTTGTGTAATTTTTAATAATTATTTAAATGACAGTTTTTTTTTTTTTTTTTTTTTTTGTACTCATTGAACCTCACGAAAAATTATGAAAAGAGATGCAGAGATTGTGATCGTTTTCTCCATTAAGGAAGGACTTTGGTCAATTTTACAATAATGTCTTTGTCAAATTCTAAATCGTTTTCTTCATCTTCATCCAATTTTACTATGCGTAATTTTAACTTGCAATATGAGCTCACTTTTGTATTGCAAATGTGGGTTGAAATCTCCATTATGTATAGGTCGTGATAGTGGACAGAAATTTTTTGATTGTCAACCGTCGAAGGTTAGATTACAATTCTTGATAAAAATTCATTTGAGTATGTGGTTAATTTATATGAGTCTTTTAATATCACAGGAAAATGGTTGTGAATTTTTGATACTTTTGGTTATGAATGTTCAAGTTCAAGAAATCCCGGACATTGATTATGGGGCAACACTAAATGAATCACAAGATTTGAGTTGTATTGCTCAACAACTAAGAGATGATATGTCATCTGTAGAGAGAATGGGAGAGAGTTAAGATGTCAATGAGTGGTGCTACTAAAGTTGAAAATGAAAGTTGGTCGAAGACGCTTTAGGTGTAGTATTATTAGCAATGTTGCTATGCTTGGGTACGTATGTATATGTTTTTTATAATGTTTATGAATATATGTATCTTTATTATATTTTAAAAAGTTTTGTTATGTAGAGGATTTGTTCTTCTCTGTTCTTCAAATGCTGACTTTAAGGAATCAACACCTAAAAAATTTGTTCATACTTAGAAAAGTATGTGGGACAATAGAGAATGAATTGATTTCTAAATTTGTAAAGTGAGGTTGTGTTCGACAACGTGAGAGTTGAAGGATGCAATTGAAAGGCGAAATGGTGAAGAATAAGAAAATGTTGTCCTTAAACGGGTTGTATGGTAATTAATTTATATTAATTTATATAAGGATATAAGGATATCATGAGATTTTTTTTTTCGAACATCTATTTCTTTATGTATGCCTTATTCAATTTATATTAACAATTTTACTCTTTATAGTAAACTTAATTTTATTATTCTAATAACACAAGGCACATAAATAATAATATTATCTCAAACTTATATTACAACAACATAACTAAAATGTTTATAAAAGAGTTAACAGTTTTTTCTCTTATGAAAAGAATGAAAAATCTTTGTTTAAATATAACGGTTTTTTAAATGGTCTATTTTTAAAAAATAAAAGGTTAAAATTTTGTATGTTTAACATATTTAATACGAAAATTAAACGGAACTTTTCAAAAATTAAAGGTTCAATTTTTTCAAATTATATCATTATATTTTCAAATATAAAAGAGTTAACAGTTTTTGTTCTCATGAAAAGGGGAAAGACCATGTGTCGTCAATTTGAAAGTTTAGAACAATACAATTTGAAAGTCGAAAGATCACAGGTCGTCAATTTGAATGTTTAGAACTAAACGTGGCAAAATTACTATACTCAGATGATCACAAATGACATCGAATGGCCAAATATGATATTAACACTTTTTAGTAATTACCTAGCTTAAATATCAATTTTTTATTTAATAACAACAATTTATAAAAGAGTAAATCTCATATTTGTTTTTTATATATGAAATTTAATAACATTAATATTTTTAATAACATAACATGATTTTAATATTTTAAATATTAGTTTGTTCTGATTTTTTTTAAAAATTTAAACAGTTTGAGATGCTTAGGAGTCCCCAACCACTGTTTAACTTTGAAAGTTGGAACTCCAGTTATGCTACTGAGAAATATAGATCACTCCTTGGGACTGTGCAATGGTACAAGGTTGATAGTAACACAGTTGAAAAATCATGTTATTGAGGCACAAATCCTATGTGGCAACAATGCAGGTACAAATGTGTTGATATCAAGGCTATCTTTTACTCCTTCAAACCCAAGATTTCCATTTAAATTTCAAAGAAAGTAGTTTTCACTTATGTTGTCATATGCAATGACAATCAACAAAAGTCAAGGTCAAACGCTTTCACAAGTTAGTTTGTTACTGAAAAAAAAAAAAAACAGTTTTTAACCATGACCAATTATATGTAACAGTTTCTAGGGTGAGTAATCTTGACGGTCTTAAGGTCTTAATTTGTAGGGAATCTAGACGTCTTTTAAAGAAGACTCAAAATGTAGTTTACAAAGAAATCTTTAATAATGTGTAATTGCTTTGTTTATGGAACACCAATAAATTATATTTTGTCTATTTATTACATTTAAATCCTTATTGGTCTTATATCTTCGATATAACAATCTTTTATATATTGCACCATAATATCATGGCCGTGCATCGCACGGGCGCAACTACTAGTTTAATCATTAATATGCGCATATTGACACTTTATTATGCGTATCTATCGTTCTTAGTGTGCGTGTGACTTAAAATATTACAAGAAAAAATAAAAATAAAATAAAATAAAACAAAAAACATCAATGGGTACGTTTTTTAAGTATTGAATGACCATTCAACTTTAAAATATTCTCATTATGGGAAATATAAAAAAAGCTGACATCCAAAATGACTTCACGACCATTTCCAATGCCATGTAAATATCTGACGGGACTTATTGCTCTAATATGCGTTACATATGCACTTAACATGTGTGTGCGTTTATGTATAACTTAACATCTATTGAGACCAAAATAAAAATAAAAATAAAATGTGTCTATTAATATTACAGTTTGCTTTGGGATGATTTTAAAAGGATATTTGTCAATTTATTCATTAATATGCGCACTATTATACTTTACTATTCATGTATTTCAGATAAAATATGCATTAGACTGTATGCTACCTGACTTAGACCCAATAAAAATAAAAAATGCGTTGATAAACTATTAAACTTGCGCAACATTAAACCTTATCTGCGTTAAAAAAAGAAAGACATTATGCCTATAGTAAACTCTTTATATGCGTTGAATTGTATAACACGCGTATATATATATATTATAATATGCGTATGAAAAATTTAAAAATAATATATATATATATATATATATATATATATATATATATATATATATATATATATATGTATATATTTAATTGGCGGAACATTAATGCTTAATATGCGTAACAAATAAACAATATGCGAGTTGGCTTGTGTATTAAAACTTTATTTTATTAATAAATTTATCCAATGAAAATACATGCGTTACATAACATCTAACATGCGCAAACTGCCGAGATACAATATTCTCCCCGTTCTTAATTGAAAACACAAAAAAAAAAAACATAAATAAATAAATAAATAAATAAACACCACGTTCATGTCCTCTGCGAACTTGTAAGTTTTTTGGATTTTCCAAAGAAATATATGCCCATTTGAGCAGCACACATGATGCATCACTTGAACGTTTCTGTGGATCTGCACTTCAACAGCACACATAATGCATCCTCTTGACCGTTTTCTGTGCATCTGCTCTGAATGGGCGGGAAGACCACGTCTTTCAAAGTGGAATCGGTGGCAGAGAACATCCCAAACTTCCATCAATCTCAGGATGGAAGTTTGTATCAAGTGATGTTTGATTTCAGGTTTAGAATGTGTTGTTATTGAAATCAATTACAACGACAACAAAAAGGAGAAGGAGGACGAATATGATGAGGAGGATATACATTGTAAAGAATGTACATAATACGACGATGAATGACTGATGGTGGTTGTGGTAATGGAGTGAAAGACTCAAACGATGTCATTACGATGTATGTTTTCTTGAAGAGTGTTCTTCTCCTTTTATAGGCGAATAACTAGGTTAAATTGAATAATTTGACAAATACAGTGTTACCCATTTCATAAAATAAAAAATACGGAATATCTTTTTTTTTTTTACATTTTTAATTTACCTATAATTGGTGTTGTATACAGTTATCCTTCCAAATATAATAAAATGTACACCAAAAAAAGATTTAATATGCGTACGTTGATGTTTCAATGCGCTTGACGGATTTTAAAACTATTTCCGTCTATGAACAAGTTAATGTGCGTGACCAAATGTATTAACGTCCGTAAGTGCACACACCATTGATGCTATGCCAATACTTTAACAAACGTGCGTCATTTTCATCTCTATCATTCGCGCATGAATAATTTAGTATGCGTAGGGTCAGGTCTTAGTGTGCGAACAAACGATCGTCATTTTCATCTTTATCATGCGCGCATGAATAATTTAGTATGCGTAGGGTCAGGTCTTAGTGTGCGAACAAACGATCAAAGACAATTTGTCTTATTCAATTTAGTGTGCAAACAAACGATCAGGAATACTCTGAAAATCTTTATTCGAATAAAAAAGAGTAAAGTCTTGTGGAGGGGAAAGGTTCGATCCTGTGCGAAGTCAATAAATACAAAGACTTCTACCACTTCACTATTGGGCTCATCTATTTATTTACTGTATCCCCAAACATATGTAACCTTTCGACTGATCCCGAATTAAAAAGCATGTGTGTAAAGCACATTATGGTTCTTAATGTGTTTTATTGGCTAACTTAAAGTGCGTCTCCAACCACATTGACATGTGTGCCGCGTGCGTGTGAATACTTCATTGTACAGTTGTAATATTTTAACGATTGTGCGTTAAGTTAGTTCTTAATATGCGAACGTTAATATTTTAACGTTTAATGATTTACATATGCAACATTGTATTCTTGTTGCATGCATTTAAATGACCAAATCAACGCATATTACGGATTTTGTCTCACTCACGATGAAAAATGGTATTAGTCCTACTGTATGGATAATAATAATAATATGACAATAATAATGCGCGTTTGATTTTTGATTATTTATTTAATGACTTTCAAGTAAATAAACCAAGAAAAATATATAACAGCCAACAAAATATTTATTATTTGCATTGAACTAATTCATACATTCAATTGCTACTACCACTCACATAATGAAAATAATAATAAAGAACATCCCCCTAACCATCTATATCAACACCAACCAACACAACAATTCAAACCAAATGCCCCTGATGGAATAATCACGGAGCCGGAGCGGAGCAACGCAGTGTAAACCGGGTCCGCCCCGGGACAGGATGAACCACCCCGGGGTCGGCCAACCACCCCGGGGTCGGCCCACGCCGGCCCCACAGGGCTCGGCCACATGGGCTCGGCCTCGGCCCCCATGGGCTCGGCCGAGCCCATGCTCGGCCCATTGGCCGAGCTCCGTGCTCGGCCAATGGCCGGGTCCTCGCGTGGAGCGAGTCCCGCGGCGCGGCCCGCGGCTCCTCCCGTGGGCCCGGGGCCCGTAGCAGCTGGGGGTATATAAACACCCCCCGGTGTCCTAAGTAGACATCTTCTACCTTTTCATACAATACTTGTGACGTTATTACACGTTCTAAACCTCTGTAATAGCGATCTATATCCGATTAATACAATATTTACCTTTTTGTTATTCGTTCTTATATTCCATTTCATATACGGGTTGTATAATCCAGACCCCCGGGTTCATATAATCCATCATTGGTACTCTTGTTGAGAGCGGCTGTACAAGCTTAAGCGCTCTCCCTATTATCCTTCATTGACAGCAATGACAAGATCCGGGTCGAACACCCACAACTCGTAGGGTTTGCGCCACACACGAGACCTCTCCTTCGTCAACCAACCCAATGGGACAACGGCGAGCCGGCGGACCGTGCTCGTAGGGGAGGGGGGGGGACCTCCGAGATCAGATCAACGGGAGTCGGCAGGGGATTGGGGAGGACCTCCGGGGTCGTCTCACCAACAACCGCCCTCTCGGCGGGTCGGCACCACCCGCGCCACCGCAGGTCCCGACCTCCCGGGAGGATGCCGCCATCCTGGAACAAGCGGCGAACGCGCTCAACCGCCTCGCGGGTGGGCTACGCCGGGGAGATCAAGCACCCCAACCTCCGCCCCTCCCGCGAACGCGCAGCGGACCCAGCACTCACGCGCCTCGGGAGCCCGTAGCACCGGCGGAGGTGGAAGTCAACTCACCCCGGCCCTCTGAGAGGCGCGACGCCGTGGAGGTCACCCGGGGTCAGCACGAACAGCGAGAAGAGAGGCGGGCCCGGCCGGCACGGACCACATCCGCGCTCGGGCGGTTGGGCCCGCACGTGCCAGCGCGAGATCGCCTGGGGCCGAGGCCGGCCACCCATGCTAGGCAGGAAGAGTCGTCGTGTTCACGGAGGTCCCGGAGCCACGAACCCCGTGTCCCGGGGCCGCAGGAGCCGTCTCCACCAGTAGAGCGCTCGGGCGAGACCAGAAGCCGACCCCCAAGCACCCAGCGCGACGAGATGGAACAACTGCGCCGGCAGATGCGCGAATTGCAGCGCAGGATGGAGGCACGTGACGAATCACCCGAACCTCGGGACGCCCTGGCCACACCCTTCACGGAGGACATCATGGCTAAACCCCTACCGAGGGACTTCAGATTCCCGGCTATCAAACCTTACACGGGGGCGACGGACCCGCGGGACCACCTCAACAGGTACAAGGCGGTCATGATGATGACAGGCGTTAACGACGCCATCATGTGTCGCGGTTTTTGCACGACCCTGGACGGACAGGCCCAGGACTGGTTCGGGTCCTTGCCGATGAACTCCATCCCCACCTTCGCGGTCCTCACTAAGAAGTTCATGTCACACTTTGCGGGCAGCATACAGCGGCGGAAGCAGTTTGCTGACCTATGTTACTTGAAACAACAAAGGTCAGAGTCCTTGGCGGAATACCTGAGCAAATGGAAGAAGGAAGCCATGGGGGTGACAAATTTTGACGAAAATTCTGCCATCCTATTTTTTACAAACAACCTCAGGTCGGGTCCTTTCCACAACGACCTCGTCCGGAACGAGCCGAAGACGTACACAGAATTGATGGACCGCGCCTCGCGGTACGCCAACGCAGAGGCAGCAGAGAAGAGGAAGAAGGAGGAGGAGGAGGGCCGCGGGCGGGGCGACAGGGCACCTCAACCTCAAGAGGACCGCTGTCCTTCCCGGCCACGCCGTGATAGGGGTCCCCGACTGGCCCCATTACGACACCTGACCCCGTTGACGCAACCCGTAAGCGTCATCCTGGACCATGCGGAGGACATGGGCATCGTGTCGTTCCCCGAGGAGTGCTTGAAGATCTCCCCCAAGGCCGACCCGAAGAAGTACTGCCGCTTCCATCGACAACGCGGGCACGACACCGACGAATGTATGGTCCTCAAGAGGCAGATTGAGGAGCTCATACAACGAGGGTACCTGGGGCAGTACGTCAAGAGGTCCGGGCAGGACCACGCTAAGGGCCCCGACAACGCGCGAAAGAAGAAGGAAGGTGACGGGCCCTCTACCTCTGCCCCGCGCAAGAGAGAGCTCGGCCACACACGGAGGATGAGGAGACCGAGCCGGACAGCCCGCCAAAGAAGAAAGTCATCCATGTCATTTTTGGCGGCCCGGAGGGAGGAGACACGCCCACCGAGAGGAAGAAGTGGGCTCGGAGCCTGTACGTAGGGGAGGTCGTCCGAGCACCCCATGAGAAGAGGACACGCAGGGAGCCCATAACGTTCACCGACGACGACCTCCCGGATGGTCCCCTACCCCACCGGGACGCATTGGTAATCAACTTAGAGCTCAAAGACATCATTGTCCACCGGGTACTGGTGGATACGGGGAGCTCCATGAACGTCATGTATTATGACACCTTCACGCAGCTCGGGCTATCCAGGAAGCAGCTTTCCCAAGTTCGGACCCCGCTATCCGGCTTCACCGGGGACTCCATTGAGACGGAAGGAGCCATCATCCTCAAGGCACAGATCGGCACCCCACCGCACGTCAAGACATGGGAGGTGGAGTTCGTGGTGGTGAAGCTCAGCTGCGCCCACAACATCATCCTCGGCAGACCTGCCTTGGAGGACCTCAGGTGCGTCATCTCTATGGAGCACCTCTGCCTGAAGTTTCCTACCCCCACCGGGGTGGGCGTCGCGCGAGGGGACCAGAAGGTCAGTCGAAGTTGTTACTTGAAGGCCTGTCGCCAAATAACGAGGAAGGACCTCCAGGTGCACACAGTAACCGAGAGGGCCCTCCGGGAAGAAGAGAAGCGGCCCCGCGCCGAACCCGTGGTGGAGACGGAGGAGGTCATCCTGGACCTCAGCCGACCCGACAGGATGGTAAGGGTGGGCATAGGCCTCCCAGCTGACCTCCGAGGTCGGATTGTTGAGGTCATCCGCAGCTACAAAGACGTGTTCGCTTGGGGTCCCGAAGACATGCCAGGCCTCAGCCGGGAGGTCATCACGCACAAACTAGGGGTGGACCCCAAAGCCAAACCTGTCCAGCAAAGGAAGCGCTACCTCGCCGCAGATAGGCGGGAGTTTGTGAAAAAGGAGGTTGACACCCTCCTCGAGATCGGGCACATCAGGGAGGTCACATACCCGGCGTGGCTTGCGAACGTAGTCCTCGCACCGAAACCACCCACGTGGAGAATGTGCGTGGACTACACGGACCTCAACAAGGCGTGCCCCATGGACCCCTTTCCGCTACCCAACATAGACCAGCTGGTGGACGAAACAGCAGGATGCGCACTCATGAGCTTCCTAGACGCCTTCCGAGGGTACCACCAAATTTTCATGCACGAGGAAGACGAAGAGAAGACGACATTCACCACCCCCGAGGGGGTCTTTTGCTATCGGGTCATGGCGTTTGGGCTCAAGAACTCGGGAGCCACGTACACAAGAATGGTGGCCAAGGTGTTCAAGAAGGTCCTCGGCCGGAACTTGCAGGCCTACGTGGATGACATGATCGTGAAAAGCACGGGGGCCGACCTACACACAGCCGACTTGACCGAGGTATTTTCTATTATGAGGCATTTCGATTTACGCTTGAACCCCAAGAAATGCACCTTCGGGGTACACGGAGGGAAATTCTTGGGTTACATGGTCTCTAAGAGGGGTATTGAACCCAACCCCGAAAAAGTCAAGGCCATCCTGGAGATGGAACCTCCGAGGTCCCTCCGCGAGGTCCAGCGCCTCAATGGTCGGCTGGCAACTCTCGGCCGATTCCTATCAAGGTCGGTAGAGAGGTCCTTGCCGTTTTTCGGGGTCCTCAAGAAGAACCAGGGGTTCGAGTGGTCAGGCGAATGCCAGAAAGCCTTTGAAGACCTCAAGACGTACCTCATGACGCTACCCCCCCTGGCCAAACCGGAGAAAGGGGAGGTCTTGTACCTATACTTGGGCATCTCGCAGGCCGCGATCAGCTCCGTACTGGTCCGGGATGATGCGGGAACCTAACGCCCGGTGTACTACGTGAGCAGAGCCCTCCGAGGCGCCGAGCTCAGGTACTCACCCACGGAGAAAGCAATCTTCGCCGTGGACACCACGGCCAAGAAGCTCGGGCATTACTTCCAAGCACACCCCGTACGGGTCCTCACCAACCAACCCCTGGAGGCAGTATTGAGGGCCTCAGGGTCGGCAAGCAGGTTGGTCAAATGGTCCATGCGGTTGAGCCAATATGATGTCCAGTTCAAGCCTAGACCAGCGATCAAGGGGCAGGCGCTCGCCGACTTCATAGTCGAGTGCACCGCTCGCGAGGCCGCCGAGCTAGCTCGGAGCGATGAGGAGGATTGGTGGACCCTGTCCACGGATGGCTCGTCCGGCCCCAAAGGGTGTGGCGGAGGGGTGGTACTCGTAACCCCGGAGGGGTTCCGGGCCTACTACGCCCTTCGTTTCCACTTTAAGCTGTCCAACAATGAGGCTGAATACGAGACACTACTGGGTGGCCTCAGGCTAGCATTGGGTCTGAGAGCCTCCAAAATAAGGGTGCGGTGCGACTCCCGACTGGTGGTCGGACAGGTGAACGGTGAATTCGAGGCCAACGAGGAGAGAATGAGGAGATACCGCGACGTGGTGCTCCAGGTCCTCGGTCAATTGACCCTCTACGAAATCTTGCAGGTACCCCGAAGTCAAAACGGGGACGCGGATTTGCTTTCCAAGCTCGGCCTCGGCACCCCAGAGCACGTTTCTAAGATAGCGCGGATTGAAGACCTCCAGAGGTCCAGCCTTGAGGCCTACCCCGTCCTCCCCATACAGACACGGTCCCCATGCTGGTTGGACCACCTGATCGAGTATAAGAGGACGGGTACCCTTCCAGCAGATGAGGCAGCCGCTAAGGCAGTCAAGAGGAGGTCACCAACATACGTCCTCCTTGGGGACACCCTGTACAAAAGGTCCTACAACGGCGCCCTCCTCCGATGCCTATACCCGGACGAAGCCAAGTCCGTCAAGGAGGAGATACACGAAGGCACCTGCGCTGCACACCAAGGAGCTTTTGCCATGGCGAGGAGGGCCCTATTGCAGGGGTACTTCTGGCCAAGCATGGCCAAGGAATGCGCAGAGTACGCACGGGGATGCCCGACTTGCCAGCACTTTCACGCAGAGCCGGGACGGCCAGCAACCAGCTACACGCCCATCAGCACGGTAATCCCGTTCTCACGTTGGGGGATCGACATCGTCGGGGCCCTACCCATGGGGTCCGCGAAGA